GAGATGTGATTGTCAGAGGGCTCTTCCTGGGTGGAACTCTGGGAGTTTTGCTGTGAGATAGAAACTGAGTTCAGAGGCAAGAGCAGACTGTATGCCGACTGCTGTCGGCCCCCAGCCCCGGAGCAGGGTGCTTGCTGGCTATTGTGGGGACCCCAGCCCTGGAGCAGGGTGCTGGCTGCTGTCGGGCACTACATGTGGTATTAGCCAATAGGATTGAGACATTGGGGTGTGTTCTGCGGTGAGCATCAGCTGACACTGCCTGGTAGGCCTTCCTGTCATATTTAATTTTTATTTTCAAGACTTATTTAAAAGGTAGATTTACAGAGAGGAGATACAGAGAAAAAGATCTGTCTGCTGGTTCCCTCTCCAAGTGGCTAGAACAGCAGGCGCTAAGCTGAGCTGAAGCCAGGAGCCAAGAGCTTCGTCTGGGTCTCTCGAGTGGGTGCAGGGTCCAAAAACTATGGTCCGTATTCTGTTTCCAGGCCAAAAGTAGGGAAGTGAAGCAGCCGACACGAACCGGTGCGCATTTGGGATCCCAGCACATGTAGTGCAAGGAGTTAACCACTGGGTCATCATGCCAGGCCCAGCAGGCTATTTGTTTTTTTTTTTTTTAATATTTATTTATTTTTTATTACAAAGTCAGATACACAGAGAGGAGGAGAGACAGAGAGGAAGATCTTCCATCCATCCAACAATTCACTCCACAAGTGGCCACAATGGCCGGTGCTTCACTGAAAGCTGGGAACCAGGAACTTCTTCCAGGTCTCCCACGTGGGTGCAGGGTCCCACGGCCTTGGGCCATCCTCGACTGCTTTCCCAGGCCACAAGCAGGGAGCTGGATGGGAAGTGGAGCTGCCGGGATTAGAACTGGCGCCCATATGGGATCCCGGTGTGTTCAAGGCGAGGACTTTAGCCGCTAGGCCACGGCGCTGGGCCCTGGCAGGCTGTGTTTTTAAGGTGCTGAGTGTTTTCTGGTCCTGCATGGCTGCCTTTTTGTGTAGAGCCTCCTGTCCCTAGCCTTCATGTCCATCAGGCCAGTCCGTTGACACCTGCTGAGGAAGTGGGGCCCTGCACCCCCTTGCTGCTCTCCTGTGCTGACCCCCGCTCAGCTGGCCATTTGGGGCATTTTGCCTTAGGGCTGGTTTCCTAGTGACTTTGTGCAGAGTGCCTCTGTTGGCAGTAGCAGATGGGAAGGGCTCAGTGGGACATGATGACAAACCACAGCGTTACAGCATCCCAGCTGCTCATGAGTCCCCAAAGTGGGGTCTGAGCAGATCTGCCCACCTGTCAGGACATCCAACCTGAAGCCAACCAGCTGCCCTGCAAAACTTAGTTGAGCCAAGCTCTGGCTGCCACTGGCTTCCAAGACCCATTTGCACAATGGGGCTCTGAGGCTGGGAGTGGATGGTGCTGGTGTGTGGAGTTTGTGGTGTGAGCTGGGGGAGAGGTCTGGGAGCTGCCCTGCACTCAGGGGTGTGCCCTCTGCTGGTGGCTCTGGTGAATTGCATGCCTGGAAATGGCCGGCTCCCAGCAACACAGTGGCTTTGTTGGAGGGAAGCCGTCCTCACTTGTATCTGCATTCCAGGCAAGCCAGCCTGTCCGTCCGCGCAGTCGGAGCTGCTGGCAGTCTGAACTTCACAGTCACCCCTACCTGTGGGCAGCTGTGGGAACTAATGAGGGCCGAGATGTCTGTGCCCCCAGCAGAGCTCCTCAAGTTGACTGAACTGGCTCCTCCTCTCAGCTGCTTGTGCCTTGTGGACCCTGCAAACAGTGGTTCTTGCCCCCACATATGAGGTCGGAGTTCCCAGCTCCTATCTGGGGCCTGATCCAGGTCCAATCACTGGGCACCCCCTTGAGCCATATGAATTCCAGCAGGAGAGTTCTAGGATGGTACTTCAGTGACTCATCTTGGGAGCACAATCCTGAGGCTTCTGCAGGATATTATGCATGACTGCAGGATTCCTTCTGGGAATGTCAGAGGAGCATGTGGCCATGAACATGCTGTGGTCTGTCTTCCACTCACCCGTGGAAGCATGTGATGGCTGTTACAGATGAAGTTACTATCAGATTTGTTTGCTTGTTGATTTTATTTGAAAGTTAGAGAAGCACTTATATTCAAAGAGAGCACCCGTCCCCTGGCTTCCCCCAGGTACCATAGGGCCAGGGCTAGGCTCCACTGAGCTGGGACCCTAGAACTTGGTCAGGTCTCCCACAAGGGTATTGGGGATTCTCCCCAGGGGGAGTGGAGCCAGGACTGGAACCAAGAAGATGTGAAAGACTTGCCCCTTGTGTGTGTGTTATGTGAACTCATGCTTTGCACTTTCCGGGATCTGTGTTGGAGAATGTTAGCTAGGCTGAGGCAGCAGCTGCCTGTGTGTTTTTTGTTTTTTTTTTTTAAACAAACTTTTCCAGAGTGGTTTTCATGTTGTATATCCCATTGATTGTGGCAGGAGTGAGCCAGTTTTCCCACATTCTGCCAGCACTTTGCGGTTTTCTTTTTCACTTTGGACTTGGTCAGCTTTGTAGTTGTGCACTAGTGGGTCAAAGACTCATCGTACTGCAGATGGTTTGTGTGCTTATTGCCATTTGAGAAAGTGGAAGCAGCAGGTGACACACATAGACTCCCCTTGAGCATGTCTCTGTGAAGTATGCCCCAGTAGAATCTGGAATTTTCAATTAAATGCTCAATTTTACTCATTTTTTTATTTATTTGAAAGGAGGAGACAGAGAGAGATCTCCCATTATTAATTCATTAACTTCCCAAAAGCCCACAGTAGCTAAGGCTGGGCCAGCCTGACGCTGGGAACCAGAAGCTCCACCCGCATGCCCCAGGCGGGCAGGAGCCAGTGTTCGCTGCCTTCCAGGTACATTAGCAGGGAGCTGGAGTTGCAGACCAGCGTCAGGGTCCCACAACCTCTCTTCTATTCAGCCTCCTGCTTGCAGCCTGGGAAAGCAGTAGAGGACGGTGGCCCAGCACCTTGGGACCCTGCAGCCGCATGGGAGACCAGAAAGAATCTCCTGGCTTCGGGTCGTCTTAGCTCTGTCCATTGCAGTCACCTGGGGAATGAACCAGTGGGCGATGGTTCCTCTCTCTCTTTTCCTCCCTGCTGCCTTCATTCTGTATAATGCTGCCTTTTGCATAAGAGTAAGTCTTTGAAGTAAAAATATGAGTGTCTTTGGAAAATAATATTCTGTGATACATAAAGAATGTAAAGTTGCAGGGTAATAGCCGTTTCCCTGCTGAGGAGGAGATGCAGATTACACACAGGGCCTGGTGGGTAGATGGCTTCTCAGGGCAACTGCCTGGCCCTCTGAAGGGTTGCTGGCTGGGTGGTGTGGTGGTGACAGCCTTTGGATGTCGCGGAGTGTTTTTTCCCTTGTAAGAGACCCTGAGCAGGGTTTTGGTCCCACACTGCAGCCTCTGGGCATTCTTCTATGGGCGTCCGAAACCCTAGCACCAGATCTATTCTTATGAAAGACCCTGCTTCTGTGTAGTGCAGCCACATGCTTCCAAGGACCAAGGCCAGGAGCCACCCTGCAAGGGCTTGAGCACCCATGGGGAGATGGCCCTGCCTGCCAGCATACGGAACAGGCTGCCTACGTACCCTCCGGGGGCGGGGGAGCTGACATTTGTGCATGCCCATTCCATCTAGTAAAAGGATTTTTTCTTGTGTGGAAGGAGTCAAGGCATTCTAGAAGGTTCTCTTCCACAGGTGGATGTATCTGTAAGAGGCCCTGTTAGGCAGGCCAGGTGTAGGTGTTGCCTGGGAGTCAGTCATCCCACCTGTCGTGCCTGGCTTCACTCCAGCACCTTGTCGCGTGCTAGTGGACAGCCCGGGACGGCCCTCAGACCATATCCCTGGATGGACCACCTGACCATCGAAGGCATTTAAGGAGTGAGCCAATGGGTGGAAGATATTCTCTGTCTCTCTCTTCCTCTCCTTCTCATCACTCAAATAAAAATGAGTAAATAAACATTTTTAAAAAGATTTATTTATTTTTATTGGAAAGGCAGATATAAAGAGAGGAAGATCTTCTGTCTGATGATTCACTCCCCAAGTGACCGCATTGGCCGGTGCTATGCCATTCCGAAGCCAGGAGCCAGGAACTTCTTCCAGTTCTCCCACGCAGGTGCAGGGTCCCGAGGTCTTGGGCTGTCCTCTACTGCTTTCCCAGGCCACAGGCAGGGAGCTAGATGGGAAGTGGAGCTGCTGGGATTAGAACCGGTGCTCATATGGGATCCCGACGAGGACCTCAGCCACTAGGTGACTGTGCTGCAGGACATTTTATGTAATCAAGAGTGAGGAAGAGAATGGCCTGCTTTTGTGAGATACACCAAAAAAAATGTAAAGAAGAAGAAAGATTGAGGAATCTAACAAACCTGACATGCAGCTGAAATCACCATCAACAAAAAGTTTAGGAAAGATGCTTGTGGCGTACATGACTAGTGACTAATAGCAGGAATATTTAAGGACTGAGTCACTGAGACCTGGTCCTGCCCAGTGTGGCAGTGATGGTTCAGTGGCTACGTTGCGCCCAGGGGGGCAGTGGTGGTGAGAGGAGTGATGAGTTCTCACCACCCACTTGGATCACGTTCTGGGCTGCTGGCAAGTGGTGTGAATGGAGGAGATGTGACTGACAAGTCCTGATACTGTCCCCCAGCTGGTCAGGGAGAGGGCCCCAAGTGGGCTGGGGTCTCTATGGGCCATGTGAAGGCGGAGCTGGATCCAGGAGCCACTCCCTCTTGTGCCAGATGCCAGGCGATTGGGGCCTAGAAACCGGAGGCAAGCTGGCATCTGCTGTGGCGCTCACTTGGACCCTGTGTTTGCTGTCGCAAAGTCTGGTTTCACGTCCCAGCCAGTAGTAGGTAATGGGTGGACATGTTTCTCCTCCGCCTGTCTCAGATCTGAGAGTTGGTGGGGCAAGGTGCTGACGGTGGCTTCCTAACACTCCAATGTGCAGATTCTGAAACGGTCATTCACATGTCCTTCTGTTTGTAGATATGGGTCCTGGCGGGAGCCTGTCAATCCCTACTACGTCAACTCCGGCTATGCTGTGGCCCCTGTCACCAGCGCCAATGACAGCGAGCAGCAGAGCCTGTCCAGCGATGCTGACACCCTTTCCCTCACAGACAGCAGCGTGTAAGTCCTGCCCCTGCTGGGGACAGTCTCCCGGGTCACCTGAAAAGGCTCCCTGTCCTGCCTGGACACAGTGCCGGAAAGGTGGCCTCCCCTTGCAGCCCTGTGTCTGGGCACCCTGTTCTGCGCTTGTTGCTGGTCACGGGCTGGAGCCGCCACGTCAGGCAGTGTGGGGACTGCGCAGAGGAGGCCATGGCAGCTGTGCTGAGCTGAGCCCTGTCCAGGGCCTGCTGCTTCAGGGAGCCCTGCAGCCATTGAAGCAGTGGTGCTCTTTCTCCCCCTCTTCCTCCTCCAGCTCCAGGGAAGCCCTTCACAGCATGTTCTATGCTGGCGTTACAGATAGGTCGTGTGAACCCTGGCTACAGGGCCTGCTGACTGTGTGGCCTCCTGGGCTCCTGTTTTCCCTGTAACCTGCTTAGCCTCTGCCAGAGCTGGGAGCTAAATGCAGGGTCCCCGGATTTCCCCTGCAGTGTCAGAAGAAGCCCTGGGCATCCCCGTGGTTCTTGTCCCTGGGACTCCTGCCCTGCCTGCTGGTCTCTTATATTGTGTAAGAAGGAAACAGCCATGTATTCCGTAGGAGGATCCCACTCATCATTTTGTGAATTAATTTTTATTTATTTGCGAAACACAGAGAGAGCTCTGACAGGCTGGCTCAGTCTCCCTATAGACCCACAGTGACCAAGGCCAAAGCTAGGGATGCGGTTCCTGGACCGTTGCTGTTGCCCCAAGCTGGCCCAAGAAGGGCCATATGGGAGCAGAGCATCCTGTGCTTGTGCAGAGCTGCCCTTTCTGCTGGCCTGTCCTGAATATTGTCCCAGCCCCAGGTCTGCATGAGCAGGGCAGCTGCCGGGGGGCGCGGCGCTCCTTGTCTGAACCTTCAGCCTAGCTCTGTGTGTGATGTTCTGTCCATGTGAAACTTTGGGCTCTAGTGCTGCTCTGTATGTGGTGGGCATCAGGCTTTCTGAGGTGCCTGTGCTGAGTCAGGTGTGGTGCAAGCAGCGCTGCAGGCTGACCGCTCCCTAGCGTCTGCCCTCCTCTCCTGCTCTGGGAGGAGGTGTCTGCCCACAGCTCTCGTGAGAAGGGGCTGCTGATGCTCCTGATGTGCTCCAGGGGCCAGAGTGTGAGTGTCAGGGTTAGGGGGAGGTTCTGCTGGAGTGTGTGCCGTGGCAGCTGCATGCCTTAGAGACTGGGAGGAGAGCAGTCACGCCTGTGCTGAGGACCATCTAGGACTCACCTGCTCTTCTCTCCTCTTCCTGTTCCCTACCTGGGTCCTGCTGCTGTCCTGGAGACAGCTCAGGGCTCTCACAGCCTTGCAGGGAGCTCCAGGGCATGTGACTTGAAACAAAACAAAGATGTGTTTATTTATTGGAAAGAGAGAGAGGGAGAGAGAGAAAGAAGGGATGACCAGAGAGAGATCTTCATTCGCTGGGTCAGAACCTCTTCTGGATCTCCTCCGCGGTCACAGGGTTCCCCACTGCCTCCCCAGAGGTATCAACAGGGAGCCAGCTCGGAAGTGGAGCCACTGCTCCTATGGGATGCTGGCATTGCACACAGTGGTAACCTGTGCCACAGCACTGGCCCCAAGATGTGTGATTTTTTTAAATATGTATTTACTTATTTATTTATATTGGATAGTCAGATATACTAAGAGGAGGAGACACAGAGGAAGATCTTCCATCTGCTGGTACACTCCCCAAGTGGCCACAACGGTTGGAGCTGAGCACCTCTGAAGCCAAGAGCTAGGAGCTTCCTCTGGGTCTCCCATACGGGCGCAGGGTCCCGAGGCTTTGGGCCATCCTCAACTGCTTTCCCAGGCCACAAGCAGGATGGGAAGTGGGGCTGCTACGATACGAATTGGCACCCATATGTGATGCCTGCGCTTGTCAGGTGAGGACTTTAGCCACTAGGCTACTGTGTTGGGCCCCGTGTGTGATTTTTTAAAAAAGTGATTAGTGCCTTACCCTGCCAGCTGGAAGCTGTTCTCCTTGGCCCAGGCACATCAGTGACGAGGGCTGGGTGATGCCTCTGGGTGTTCCTGAATCTGAGTAGCTTGGTGGTGTGTGCCCGGGGCAGAGGTGGACACTCACTGCACAGCAGCCATGTGCTGGGGAAGACTGACCCTAGGATAGGCGCATCACCTGTTGGTAAACCCCTAGCGTGTCCAGGTCCAAGACCTGGCTTTGGCCACAGTTTTTGTAGTGTTTGCAGAGAAAACCTGTAGTTAGCAGGTATCTTTCTCTGTCTCTCACGTAACTATGGAAAATATGAGGAGAAAGAAACAACCCATGTCCTGTCACTGTTGGTGTCGCATGCAGCCTGGGTGGCCCGAGCCAGGCCCTCACCCGTGGCTCTGGCCCTGCTGGGTCCCGGAGCTATCGTCTCCCCAGAGTAGCTTTTGCCTGCACCTGTGGGGAGTCGGGTGAATGTGGCGTCCGTCCTCAGGCCCAGTACACTGTCACTCGTGTTCCTCATGCCCTTCCTTCCTCTTTGTGCTTGTTTCCATTTGACTTGAAGGCAGGGAGACGCAGGTCTCTTTCCCGTGCTGTCTGCTGGGGACCTGCCCCTCAGAGAACTCTTCCTCTGTCAGAGGCATCTCCAGTCAGCTGTAGCACACCACGTGTGGCTTGTGTGAGGCCGTACTTAGCTGTGTGACCTGCAGAAGCAGGCCTTGGGCTGCCACTTGCTGAGCTGTTTTGAGTGCAGGCTAGCAGAGCTCAGTGAAGTCAGGGGGCCACAAGTGCACATGTGGGTTCCCTGGGCTTTGCCATCCAGTGAGTGTAGGCACATGCGTATTGTCACCTGCCAGCTGACAGGCCTGGGAGCCTGTGGAACCTTATTTCAACTGAGTTCATGGCTCCTCTTTGTCCCATATAGGGATGGAATCCCGCCTTACAGGACGCGCAAGCAACACCGCCGAGAGGTGCAGGAGAACGTGCAGGTCAACGGGCGGGTGCCCCTACCTCACATCCCTGTGAGTACATCCCTGAGCCCACAGCACCCCCCAGGCCTGAGCCCACAGCACCCCCAGACCTGAGCCCACAGCACCCCACAGACCTGAGCCCACAGCACCCCCCAGGCCTGAGCCCACAGCACCCCCCAGGCCTGAGCCCACAGCACCCCCCAGGCCTGAGCCCACAGCTCCCCCCCAGGCCTGAGCCCACAGCACCCCCAGGCCTGAGCCCACAGCACCCCCAGACCTGAGCCCACAGCACCCCACAGACCTGAGCCCACAGCACCCCCCAGACCTGAGCCCACAGCACCCCCAGACCTGAGCCCACAGCACCCCACAGACCTGAGCCCACAGCATGGCCCCCAGGCCTGAGCCCACAGCACAGCCCCCGCAGGACAGCCCCTTTCCTTCTCACACACAGGGTGTGGGCAGTGAGGAAGACACTTTCCTGGCTTCCTGGGAAAATGGCTTCTGGAGGTGTTGGAATGTGACTCAGGTGACACCTGTACTGCAAGCCCCAGTTAGGGCCAGCAGGACAGCCCAGGTGGCAGAGCGCCCTCTGCAGGGTCGTGGGAGGTGTCCTGGGGCGCTCTTCCACTGTGGCTTCCTGCTGACTAAAGCCATGTACTTCTCAGAGCAGAACTGCTCCAAGTATCCATCACACTTGGCATCCATGTCCTATGCAGGTGCTTGCCCCGTCTTACCCCTGTTGTGCTGCTCTGGTCAAGGCAAGGTTGGAGGTTGTGGCTGAGCTGTGGGAGTCAGCACATGACCTCCTAAAAAAATTTATTTACTTATTTGAAAGCCAGAGAGTGGGCACAGTATGGTAGTCTAGTGGCTCAAATCCTTGCCTTGCAAGTGCCGGGATCCCATATGGCACCAGTTTGTGTTCCGGCAGCCCTGTTTCCCATCCAGCTCCCTGTTTGTGGCTTGGGAAAGCAGTGCAGACCAGCTCAAAGCCTTGGGACCCTTCACCGAGAGGAGGCTCTAGGCTTTGGATCAGCACAGCTCTAGCTGTTGCGGCTGCTTGGGGAGTACAGCATTGGACAGAAAATCTTCCTCTCTGTCTCTCCTCCTCTCTGTATATCTGACTTTGTAATAAAAAATTAATTAATTAATTAAAAAAAAAAAAACAATCTCCATCTCCTGCAGTGACTGGGCTGGGCACGGCCAGCGCTTGGAGCCCCGGGTGCAGGTACAATGAGTTTGAGCATTAGCAGAGAGCTCGGTCACAAGTGGAGCAGTTGGGGCTTGAACTCACAGAGCCCATGTGGGATGCTGATGCTGATGCTGATGCTGATGCTGATGCTGCAGGTCATGGCTTAACCCACTGCACTACCACGTCATCCCAAATAGATCTTAGAAACAAAGTGTTGTGGCATGGAGGGTTAAGCCATGGCTAGCACCGCTGGCATTCTGTAGGAGTACTGGTTTGAGTTCTGGCTGCTGCACTTGTCCAGCTGCCCACTGCTCGGTCCGTGTAAGCGTCAGATGATGGCGCACATGGGCCTGCCTCCACCTGTGAGAGCCACGGGGACCTGTGGGCGGCTCCTTAGCGTCGGTCAGCCCCAGTGCGGGCATTGGGGAAGTGAGCCAGCACATGGCAAGTCTTTCTGCCCTTTTGTCTTGGTGACCCTGACTTTCAAATAGATAAATCAATCTTTTTTAGAAAATGCAACGTAGGTTTTGTGTGCTCCTGCCCCTAGGGCCTTTGGGGCGAGGGCATAAGCAGTCCCATCTGATAGGTTGTGTTCCTCCAGCGCACCTACCGCATGCCAAAGGAGATCCGTGTGGAGCCTCACAAGTTTGCCCAGGAGCTCATCCACCGCCTGGAGGCCGTGCAGCGCACGCGGGAGGCTGAGGAGAAGCTGGAGGAGCGGCTGAAGCGCGTCCGCATGGTGGGTGGCCCGTCTCTCGGCTCTGTCCGTACCTGGGCCGGGTCCCTGGACCCTGGGTCAGTGGCCGCGCCCAGGAGGAGATCCAGGGCTGAGGAGTGCAGCTCCCTGCGGTGTCCCTCCCTTGTGAGTGTCCCCAGGGACTCGGGAGCTGTCAGGTGGCTGTGCTCTGCGTGGGGAAGCTGCTTCCCTCCATGCACACTGGTTCACATGGACTGCAGTAGGCAGGCACAGGGGTTCCTGTCAGTGCAGAGCTCTCCATCCTCTCCACAGTGTGACGTGAACATGTGTGTGCCAACTTAGGAAGCCCCAGATGTGTGTCTCTCTCAGGACTACCTTGCCTCTTGAGGTGCTGGAGACCCTTAGGTGGCTGCTGCTCTTCTCCTTGTCTGTTCCCTGGGTCCCAGGGCCTTCCGCTAAGGGAGCAGCCAGATGGGGCAGCTGTCCAGGGAGGAGTCTGCATGAACATGTGCCTTCTCCATCCTCACTGGGGAATCAGACAGGCAGTGTGCCCATACCTCCAGCCCCAGCAGCTGAGACACACACTGGGTGCAGGGTGGCCTCACATGGGCACTAGGCTCCACCTGGGCTCCCAGGGATTCCTCTCAGAGATCTTGCCCACAGGCACCTGTGAGCCACCATTCGGCAGCTTCCTCGGGCAGGAGTGCGGCTTCCACCCTGTCCAGGGTGCCGTGGTGGCCCCGGGTGTTGTGTACTGGACAAGCCAGGCAGGCTGCAGGAGTGAAGGACTTGGTAAGTGCCTGCTGAGGCCAGCCTGGCAGGACCTGTGGGTGTGGAAAGGGAGAGCCGTGGTGTGAGCGTCCCCACTGATGTGTCCAGGCACAGGGTGTACCAGGAGGTGTTCAACTCTGTGTCCTGGTTCACATGTGCTGCAGGGCCTTGCGGGCCTTACTTTCCTGAGGGGCCGGTAACTGCACATGCAGGGAGTCGGACAGGAGTCAACGCCTTGCTGTAGGGATCTGTGCCGTGAGGGCTGTGCTGTGCCTTCCCCTGGGAGTACTGTGTTCCAGGTTTAGTAGCTGGTTCTTGTTAGCATTGATGTGTTTTGTCTATTTGTAAAATCAGTTACAAAAAAAGGAAGAGAGGGAGGCAGATCTTCCATCCCTGGTTTCATCCCCACATGGCTACACTGGAGTCAGGAGCTTCTCCCTGGTCTCCCACATGGACGCCGGGGCCCACACACTTGAGTCATGTTCTGCTGCCTTCCCAGACACTTTAGCAGGGAGCTATTCAAAAGTGGAGCAGCAGGGACTGAAGCCAGCACCTGTGTGGGATCGCAGGCAGTAGCCTTGCTTGCCATGCCACCACTGAGGCCCAAGTGTATATGTTTTTACTTTTTCTTTTTTAAGACTTATTTATTTTATTGGAAAGTCAGATATAAAGAGAGGAGGAGAGGAGACAGAGAGGAAGATCTTCCATCCGATGATTCACTCCTCCAGTGAGTGCAAAGGCCGATGCTATGCCAGTCCGAAGCCAGGATCCAGGAACTTCTTCCGGGTCTCCCATGTGAGTGCAGGGTCCCAAGGCTTTGGGCTGGTCTGCACTGCTTTCCCCAGCCACAAGCAGGGAGCTGGATGGGAAACAGGGCTGCCGGGACACGAACCGTTGCCCATATGGGATCCTGGCACTTGTAAAGTGAGGACTTTGGCCACTAGGCTATCGTGCTAGGCCCAGTGTATATACTTTCATAAGCAGTGTAGTGGTGAGCTGTTAATGTCTGCTGGTTTGCTCCAAGAGCCGGGCCATGCTAAAGCCGGTTTGCCAGAAGCACAGTCCTCCCACCTGGCAGGGACCAGGTGCTGGGCCGCAGTCCCAGGCTCTGCTTGCCCTGGAAGCCAGAACTTGAGCTGGAACCCCAGCATAGGTGCTGGCAGCCCAGGGGAAATAGGCGGGGCCAGCAGGTTTTATCTTGGTTAGAAATTTTATTTGTTTTTTTTATTAAAAGCAGAGTGACAGGAAAGAGGATGAGACAGAGTGAGTGAACAGAAAGCAAGCGTCCGTCTGTTGATTCTGTTCAGGTTCCCGCACCCCAGAGGCAGGCCTGGGTGTAACCACAAGCCAAGGGAGTCAGGGTGAGCACTGTTGTGTAGCATCTCATGGCTGCTGGTTCCAGGCTCAGCTGCTCTGCTCCCATTGAGCTTCCTGCTGTTGCTCTGGGGAAAGCAGAGGCGGCTTGTGCTCCTGCACCTACGTGAGGGACCTGGAGGAGGCTGCTGGCTCCCGATTTCAGATCTGCTCAGCCATGGAGGGAGTGAACTGATGGATAGAAGAGCTCTCTTCTCTCTTTCTCTCTGTGTAGCACTGCCTTTCAAGTGAACATAAAATAGAGCTGAGGACTCTCCCTCCATCCCAGGCACTTTGGGAGGCGGGGTTCCCCGGGGTGCCCTGCTTCCATCTGGCCTGTGGAATGGTCCTTTTTCACCTTGCTGTCTTGTCCTAGTTGCGTTTCTGAGGAGCTTGAGATTTCACAGGCTTGTTTATGTTAGAATCCAAGGTGCAGTGGATGTCTCGCCTGAGCAGGCAGGACAGTTGATCCTTGTGCTGTTGTGTTAAGTTCTTAGGACGCCACCATCCGGGATAGGCCTGCTGGCGCTGTGGCTCAGGCTGCAGCACATGGCCCCTGCGTGGTGTGGGGAGCCTGCTGGAGCTGTTGGTGACTGCTGTGGGAGGCATCTGCAAGAGAACTAGCACATGGAAGATTGTGTCTCTCTGTGTGTGCGTTGCACTTGCCTCTGTCCTCTGTCACTCTGCCTTAAGAACAAGGAGGCAGAAACACCTGGATTCGAGTCACAGCTCTGCTCAGGAGCACCAGGGGATGCAGCCACCGATGGCTCCAGTGGTTCCTGCCACCTTACGGGGCACCTGGGGCATAAACCAGCAGGTGGGAAAACCCTCGTCTCTCTCCACTGCTTCTCTGTTGCTTTCCTTTCAAAAAAAGCAAGTAAGAAAGAACTTACCAATGATAAGTAAAATTCAAGTGTAGCCTAGGTTCCACCTTCTCTTTGATTAATACCAAATTCATTCAATGTTTAAAGATTTATTTAATTTGAAAGGCAGAATCGGAGAGAGAATGCATATGATCTCCATGTGCTGGTTCATCTCCAGATGTCTGAACTGAGCTGGAACTCCAGCTGGCACGCAGGTGCAGGTGCAGGCACCTCGGAAAGCATTTGAACCTTTTGTGTCGCAGGGCCCATCCTGAAATGTGACTCTAGGTTTCTGTGCTGAGATGGTGGCTGGCATAGTGGAGGATATACCAGGAACCGGGTGGGCTGGTGGGTCGGAGCTCTCAGGTCCAAGGGTGCTTCTCTTAGAGCCAGTGTCAGCCATGGAGAGGACGGACAGCTGGGAGGAGCAGAACTCAGGCGGCAGCCTCTGACCCTTGTCCTTGACTGCCTACAGCAGGGGCATCTGGGCAGAGCCAGCAGTGCTGCTCCATCCCGTACCCCTTGCTGAGGGCTTCCTGCTACTGCCTTGTCCCATCCAGGAAGAGGAAGGTGACGACGGCGACCTGCCCCCCGGGGGGAATCACAAGCTGCCTCCTGGCTCTGCCTGGCACCACTTCCCGGCCCGCTGTGTGGACCTGGGTTGCACCGGGCTACGGGATGCCCACGAGGAGAACCCTGAGAGCATCCTGGATGAGCACGTTCAGCGGGTCATGCGGACGCCCGGCTGCCAATCCCCAGGGCCCGGCCACCGCTCCCCTGACAGCGGGCATGTGGCCAAGGTATCGGCTGTGCTGGGCGCCGTCTCGGGGCATGGGAAGCACATGCCCAAGTCAGCTGCAAAGCTGGACGTGGCCGGCATGCATCACCACAGGCACAGCCACCACCACGGCCACCACAGCACAGCCAGGCCTAAGGAGCAGGTGGAAGCCGAGGCTGCCCGCAGGGGCCAGGGCGGCTTCGCGTGGGGCCCAGAACCACACAGCCACACAGCCAAGCCCCGCAGCCACTCGGAGAGCATGGGTGCTGTCCCCAATGCCAGCGAAAGCCTGGCCTACAGGTGAGCTGCACACCACATTGCTGGGGGTCAAGGTGTGAGGCCGTGTCCCTGTGGACTCACAGGACACTCACAGCTGCCACCACTGGGCCCAGGGCAGAGAGAGCCGGGCTCTGAGCTGGGGTGAAGCTCAAGGGATGCCCCTCGGTATCAGCTCTGCCCGTGGTGCCTTCAGTGGGGGCAGCCGGGCCCTGCCTACAGTCAGAGTTGAAGCCGAGGTTGTATGACCCAGGCCTGTCTGTGACCTGTGTGGCTGGCACAGAGCACTCCCCATTTTGCCCTCCAAGCCCCGGGACCCGCCCCTCCGCCACAGGCAGAGCTGTGGCTGGCCAGACCATTGACTCTCCTCCCTGTTTTTGCAGTGGTAAAGCCGGTGTGTCCTCAAGAAGAAGTGCTAAGAAGGCAGAGTCCAACAAGGGTGCCAGTGCTGAGGTGCCAGGTACCTCGGAGGACACAGAGAGGAACCAGAAGATCATGCAGTGGCTCATTGAGGGGGAGAAGGAGATCAGCAGGCATCGGAAGGCCGGCCACGGGTAAGGTGCTGCGCCGTGTGGGGCCCTGGCCTTGGCTGCTGCACCTGCACAGAGAGGGTCCCTGGGCTGCCAGGGCAGTTGGTACGTTGTGGACCAGTGTTGGGCAGGCAGGGGATGCTCCCCTCAGCTTCCCCAGGTGGGGTGGGGAGACAATATAAGCTGCTTCCAGGAGGTTATTTCTGGGTTTCTGGTTGGCGATTCCCCACATGCCAGCCCCCTAGATTCCTGCTCAAAGTGTGAGAGGTGCCTGTGCCAGCCGTACCCTCCCTCCGTACAGTGTGTAGGAGAAATCTCTGGGCTTGTTGAGGCCCAGACCCACTGAGCTGCTGCGGGGCAGCATGGAGGGGCCTCCCAGCCCCATCTGCACAACTTCCTGTGAAGTCGTCTCAGGCTGTCACGCCCCTCCTGGCTCCTCTGCCTGTGTCCTGGATGATGCGCTACCTCAAGGGGGCTAGGGCAGGCTCTTCTGTGGGTATTCAGGACCCCTGCCCAGCCTGGTTACCCCAGAAATAGCAGGCTCCTGTGGTTGACAGACAAGAGCATGTGCAGCACCGTCTGGGCTGAGACTGGGAGCTCTGACTAGGACAGGAGTGCCACATTCTGCGTTCCCGGAGCCAAACCTGCCTTCAGAGTGCAGAGCCCTCTGTGGGAGCCACTGTCCTGAGGGGCCCGCGGCTGGCACAGGAGAGCAGCACCAAATATTTGTCTTTGAAAGTTGGATTGACAGAAGGAGACAGAGAGAAAGGTCCTCAACCCACTGGTTTATTTCTCAAGTGGCCGCAAAGGCCTGAGCTGAGCTGAGCCGAAGCCAGGAGCTTTTTCTGGGTCTCCCACATTAGTACAGGATCCCAAGGCTTTGGGCCGTCCTCAGCTGCCTTCCCAGGCTACAGCAGAGAGCTGGATGGGAAGTGAAGCAACTGGGATACAAACTGGAACCCATATGGGATGCCAGCGAGTGCAAGATGAGAATTTAACCACTAGGCTACCGCACTGGGCCCCACAATATTTTTGTTAAGAATTATTTACTTGTGCTTGAAAGGCAGATTTTACAGGGAGAAGGGGAAACGGACAAAAAGATCTTCCATCCACTGATTCACTCCCCCAAGTGGCCGCAACGGCCAGAGCTGAGCTGATCTGAAGCCAGGAGCCCCCTCCAGGTCTCCCATGCAGTTGCAGAGTCCCAAGACTGGGCCGTCCTCGACTGCTTTCCCAGGCCACAGGCAGGGAGCTGGATGGGAAGTGGAGCAGCCAGGACACGGACCGAATCATCAAGCCAGACCCCGTTGCCCTTGTCACTCGTGTGGGACACCTGAAGTTGTTCCTGGGTGCGGGCTTTGGGCATGCGCCTGTGCGTGGAATGCCTCCCTCATTTCTGTGGCTCTGCTTCCAAGTACGGTTCTACCATGTGGTCTGTGGGGCACCGGACACCCTGCCTCAGCCTGCCCATTGCCATATTTTCTTTTCCTCCCAAGGTCTTCTGGGCTGCGGAAGCAGCAGGCTCATGAGAGTTCCAGGCCCTTGTCCATTGAGCGCCCAGGGGCTGTGCACCCCTGGGTCAGTGCTCAGCTCCGGAACTCGGTCCAGCCTTCTCACCTCTTCGTCCAAGACCCCACTATGCCACCCAACCCGGCCCCCAACCCCTTGACGCAGCTGGAGGAGGCCCGCAGGCGCCTGGAGGAGGAAGAGAAGAGAGCCAACAAGCTGCCCTCCAAGCAGAGGTACACACTCCGCCCCAGTGGGCTGGGCTTCTGGTGGAGCTGGATGCGGGAATGCCCTGTGGCTGGCAGCCTATGTAGGCTCAGGTGGCAGGCAGCTCTGAGGCACTGCGGCAAGTCCTGGTCCATCTCTTGGGTACCCAGAGGCCTTCCTGACGGGTCAGTCATGTCCTGTGACTGTCCCTGTGTGCATGGGGTCGGTGTCTGGAGCCCAGGTCCTAGGGCTGTCCCACAACTGGTTTCCTCAGGAGCAAACACCTGGGTTCTGGGCTCTGCTCTGGCCCTGGTGCCAGCTTGGTGGTCAGAGTGGTTAAGGCTACCACTCGACTTGTGCAGCCTGGGCTGAGGCAGGAACACCACATGGGTCTGCCTGGAGCTTGGGACCAAGTGGGATACCTGGATTGGTGGGCCAGGCACTGTGTGGCAGGAACCAGGGACCACGTGCGGGCCAAGTGCCAGTCGCTGTGGGCAGGAGCCCAGGACCATGTGGGGTGATGGGCTGGGCACCGTGTGGCAGAGTGGCTCCACCATCCCCCATGGACAACCTTGAATGGCAGTGTTCACACATACCCTGCTCAGCCGGTCTATGGCACTGTGAGGCAGGCATGGGATCTGCATGGCAGGTCTTCCGTGAGCCACTGCAGGGCTGCTACATTCAGAACCAAGTCCCACGGAGCCAGGCAGGGTGTGTGTACATGGGAGGAACTGCACAGAGGAGACCACACAAGCAGACAGGCGTCCCAGGGTCCACTCTGCGGCACAGGACCACCTGGCCACACCACAGGCCGAGGCAGTAGATGACCAGTAGCCACCTCACAGCAGGGAGCCCACATTGGGTGGGCCCCGCAGCCGAAGTGCCCCCCCCCCGTGACACGGGTTGTTCCCTAGGTATGTGCAGGAGGTTATGCGGCGCGGACGCACCTGTGTCAGGCCAGCGTGCACGCCCGTGCTGAGCGTGGTGCCAGCCGTGTCGGACCTGGAGCTCTCCGAGACCGAGTATGTGCCCCAGGGTTCTCCCGCCTCTGTCCAGTCAGGCCTCCGCCTGGCCACATGGACACAGGCTGCAGCCCTCAGGGACGATCTCCCACACGGCCTTCCCTGTCTACAGCCGTAGAGGTGCTGACTACACAGGGCGACAGGCGATCTAAGCATGCTGGCCTGTGAGCAGTGTGTCATAGCCACGCCCAGTAGCTCTGCCCTCCTGGGCTTCCCAGTCAGCCCTGGAGACTGGCCTAGGTGGACACATGAGGTGTGCCCTTCTCAGGGTAGCAGGAGAAGGGTTTCTCCCCAGACAGGGCTGTGGGCCAGGGGGGTCTCTGCGCATGCCGGGCCTGTGTTCCCTGGACACTGAGCTGCTCCTGGGCTGTGGTCCCAGAAGAAAGACCATGAGTGGGTTTACACAGTGGACAGTCATGGGGAGCAGGGTGGGCACATGACCGTCCTGCTGTGACTCAGGCAGTAGTTTGTGGGTGCACCCACTGCTGGAGGGGGCCCAGGGGCTACAGGCAGCAGAATGTGCTGCGGTCAACTCACTGCCTCTCCCCAGCCAGCCGTCTGCTGCAGTGCCAGGCTTATCTGGGTTCTTGATGGGTGCTTAGGGCTTGGGCATGGGCAGGCGTGAGGGTCCCCGTGTGCTCTCCCTGCAGCCTGCACCTTGGTTCCTGGGCCACTGGGGTGGGGTGGAGTGTCGCTGTGCCCTCATGGCCAGCCCCAGATCACCTTGTCTCTGACCACAGGACGAAGTCCCAGAGGAGGGGGGCCAGCGGGAGCAGCCAGCCGTGCGACAGCATCGTCGTGGCCTATTACTTCTGCGGTGAGCCCATCCCCTACCGCACGCTGGTGCGTGGCCGCGCCGTCACCCTGGGCCAGTTCAAGGAGCTGCTGACCAAGAAAGGCAGCTACAGGTAAGCTGGGCCCTCCTGGGAGGGGGAGCCCGGAACCCAGCAGCGTCTGGGCAGTGGGCAACCCTTCACAACCCACTGCCCACTGCTCCGCAGATACTACTTCAAGAAGGTGAGTGACGAGTTTGATTGTGGCGTGGTGTTTGAGGAAGTGCGGGAGGACGAGGCCGTGCTGCCCGTGTACGAGGAAAAGATCATCGGCAAGGTGGAGAAGGTGGACTGACCGGCGGGCCCGGCGCCGCCACCCACCACTGCCCATAGCAATACTCGGAGAATGGCCCAGCAGGGCAGCTGCTAGTGGTGGGGCTGGTCCACCTTCTCCCAGGAGGGCCCGCGGGGTGTCCTGTGCCCCTCTGGATTGTATGTCACGAGTGCCTTCTCAGCGTCCCGCGTGCCTGTGGGGCGTGACGCCATCCCTGCCCGTCCCAGCTGGCGGCCCTAAGGACCCCTGGGACACCTGTAAATATGTACATTTCTGAGTAGGGCCCTTTTTCACGCCATGACTTGTACAATTTGTCTTTTCAAAGGTACTTGGATAACAATGAAATAAACATTTTTGAACCTGCCCTTGCCATTGGGGTGCCCCTGCTTGGTGAGTGGAGCACCCTGGAGGGCATCGGCCCTGCCTCCCCCAGGAACCAGGCTGGGTCCAGGAGTCATGCCTTTATTCACACTGAGCTGTGCTGGGCGGGGCAGCAGGGCCCACCTACAGCTCTTCCTTGGGCTCCACCGTGGCATTGGCTGGCGGCTCCTGCAAAGGGCCACAGGAGCCAGCTCAGTGCTGTGTCCGAGCAACTAGGCCCAGCAGGGCGGGCCCGGGGCAAGGACACTCACTGGTGAGGGGGCCGCAGGCTCCTCTGGGGGCAACTCGCCCCCGTTGTCTAGAAACTTGGAGAAGGTCTCCACGTCGCGGTTGCTCTTGTATTCGATCATCTGAGGAGGAGGAGGGGAGGCAGGGCTTCAGGGAGTGCCCAGCCCGCCCCGCCCCATTCCCTGTGCCCACCCCCGTGGCCAGCCTGGTCCACCTTACCTTGCGACCCGGCCCTGCAGGGAAGTACATGAGGGTGGGGAAGCCGTGCACGGTGAGGCCCTCCAGCTCGTTGGATGTGGCGTCCAGCTCGGCAATGACGATGTCCTCGCGGTCCTTGTACTTCTCAGCCAGCGCCTCCCAGGCCGGGGCCATCTCCTTGCAGTGGCTGCACCAGGGGGCGTCTGGAACAGGGCCTTGGGCTCCACCTGCTGCCCCTGCCCCTGCCCGCCTGCCGCCCACCACCCCAAACACTCACAGAACTTGACAAACACGCTCTTGGCTTCATCGTACACCACCTGTTCAAAGTTCTTGCCCACGAGGGTCTTCACTGGCCGCTGGTCCCAGTCGGGGGGGACCTCCTGGCTCAGGAGGTAGGGCTGGGGAGCCAGGCAAGCTCTCACTGAGGGTCCTGAGAGCCCCCAGCCCCTGCCGCTGGGCAGTCTCTCGGGGTACCTGAACTTGGCCGTGGAGGACCGCCTCGCAGAAGGTGGTGACTGAGGCTGCGGTTATGGGCTCCCTGGCTGCGGGGGCGTGCTTCTTGTTGGTCTCCATGTTGATGAGACGCAGGGTGGGGGCCTCGTCTGCCTTGAGGCCAAAGTACTGCAGCACGTGGCCGTTGTCTGCAGCCACATCCACCACCACGAACAGCACCTGGCAACAGAGAGTCCATGCCAGCCCCCTCCATGCCTGGCCTCCCCCTCTTCCCAGCACCCCCTCAGTACCTTTCCCCGGAACGGGGGTGCAGCCTCCGTAAAGCCAGCCCGGAGTTCCCTGTGGGCGGCCAGCGTCTCATTGATAAACAGCAGCAGGTGGTTGAGGATCTTGGCAGCAAAGATCTTGGGGGACGTCTGGCGGCGGGGGAGCAGTGGTGACCTGTGACTCCCCGGGCTCCCCACACCAGGGACCGCCCCCATCAGGCACACCTGCTGCCGATGTACCTGGCTGTTGAAGTCTGTGACAAGGTGCATGCTGTGGGTGACCAGGAAGCGTGACAGGTCCCCCAGGTCCAGGCCTAGCTCCGTGTCCACCGGGAAGTCGGCTCGCCCCTCATCAAACTGGACACCAGGCAGGCAGGTCAGTGAGGTGCAGGCTAGCCCCAAGCCCAGCCCAGTCCGCTCCCCACCACAGCCCAGCCAGGCCTCCACCCAGCCCGCCCCCCACCACAGCCCAGCCCAGCCCGCCCCCACCACGGCCCAGCCCAGCCTGACCCCTACCACAGCCCAGCCCAGCCTGGCCCCTACCACGGCCCGGCCCAGCCCAGCCCAGCCTGGCCCCGGGTCTCGACCCCACCCCAGCCTGACTCACCTTCTTGAAGAGGACTACAGTGTCCGCCGTGAGGCCAAACTTTTCAAAGAGCTGCAAGCTGTCTGTAAGGCCGAAGGTCATGTCCAGGGCATCCCGGGCCAGGTCCAGGAAGGTGGCCACGTCTTCGTCCTGCAGGTCCTAAGGGGCAGACCCTGTGAGGCAGGCAGCACTAGGGGCACTGCTCCTAGTGCCGCGCCTCATGACCTCACCTACCTGGAAAAACCCGATGACCACCACATCCTGGGCGTCTATCAGTGCCCGGGCGCTCTCCTCATCCTCCAGCCGCCTGGCACTGGCTCCCACCCGCCGCCTCAGCCACTCGGCGATGCCCTTGGCCTCCCGGGGGCCTGCAATATTCAGTCCCTCTGAGCCCAGGCCTGGCCCCGGCCCCAGCCCCCTCCCTTCCTGGGCTGACCCGTACCCGTGTACTCCTCTGGGTGGGTGCGGTTCCCATCACGGAAAAACTTGAGGGTGGGGTAATCAGTCACCCCAAACTCCTCAGTCAGTTCTGGTTCTGCAGACGCATCCACCTTGGCCAGCGTGACTGCTGCCGACTCAGCTGCCAGCAGGGCAGCCGCCTTACTGTACTCTGGGGCCAGCGCCTGGCAGTGGCCACACCACGGAGCATCTAGGGGACAGGGCTGTGAGTCCCCCTGGTGCCCAGCCCCGCCCTGTGCCTGGCACGGAACAGGCACCAGGCAAGCAAGCATGTTCTGTGTACATCTCCCTCTTCCAGGGTCCCCCACTCCCAAACCGAGTCCCCTCAACATGAGACTTGGGCAGACCAGTGAGGTTTGGGGGGGGCTGGAAAGCATGTCCAGGGTGTGTGGGGCTGCTGGTGGAAGCCTGGGCTGAGTGGTTTCCATGTGGGTCAAGGTTTGGGCGAGACCCCCCCAGCTGTGTGCAGGCCTGAGGCCACCTGACCAGCAGAAATGACAGCAGCAGTGCTGCTTCCCCCCCGCAAGGTCCTATGCTTCCACCGCCTCCTCCAGCCTCCTGGGCAGGGAGCCCCACCTGTCCCTGTGGGTGACCCTGCCGCCCCACTGGGCCCATGCACTCACAGAACTCCACCAGCAGGGCCCGGTGTTCCTGTAGGGCCCTGCCCAAGCTGTGCTGGCTCAACACCAGGACCCCATCCTCCTCCGAGGGGGACTCTGCCTCGGGGGGTTCCTCCACAGGCTCCTGACCCTGACTTTGGAGCCCTGGGGTCCCCAGGAGCAGCAGCAGGAGGAGCAGCGGCGGCAGCATGGGCAAGAGTTGGCACCCCACGGCAGTGCCGGGCCTCAGGGCCACGGGGCAGATAAGGGACTGAGGGGCTAAGCAGCAGCCGCCACGTGGCACCAGCCCACTCGCAGGAAAGATAAGGCCCTGGCACCCCCACGGGAGGGAGGAGGCAGAAAGGCGACACAGAGGGCACACAGACAGGGTGACGTTTAATAGGGCTGTTTGGGGCACAGCAGTGGGCCGGGGGCTGGGTCTCAGATCAAGGGGGTGGGGAGCACTGGGGCGGGGTGGGGGTCCCTGGGCAGCCACTGGAAGAGGTGGGGAGACAGGACCGCAAGCAGGGGCGGCCTGGGGACTCAGTCCTCCCAGGCCCGGCCGATGAGGAGGCCCCACTGCCAGCACAGGTGTCTGGTCCTGTCGTCGTCGGTGACCAGCGAGCACACGATGTAGGGGCCCCGCGCCAGCAGGCCCCGCGGCACCTCCTCCTCAGCTGTCACAAACTCGTACTCCTCTGCTCGGGGGCCGTAACTGCCCACCATGCACACGGCCTTGTCCACTGCAGCAGGCCAGGAAGGCGAGGGGTCAGGGCCTGCCCCGCCCGCTCACCCGCCCGCCCGCTCGCCACAGGCCCTGTCCTCACCGCGCAGGCCATGCCGGTAGGTGTGATGGACACACTTGAGCCCGCTGACAATCTCCCTGTTGACCTGGGGGGGGTGGGCAGGGGCGATCAGGTGCTGCGGGGGGGGGGCAGGATGGGGCGGAGCCAGACGCGGTCCCCCGGGGCACCTCACCTTGAAGGTGATCTTCACCCTGTAGTTGACACCCTCTTTCAGCACAAACACCTGGTCCTTCAGCTCAGCCAGGTTTCCTGTGGGAGGAGGGGCCGTGGAGAGCTGGACTCCCGGCAGGACCGACTCTGCCAAGAGCCCCCCGCAGGGCCGAGGACACACCTGTGAGGTCCATGGTGACGGGCCCCGGGGCCTGCTCCGACAGCAGCGTCAGCCGCATCACCTGCACTTGGGGCAGGCTGGGGTCTAGGGAGAAACCAAGTCACACGGCGCCCCCACCCCACACACACCTGGACGCTGCCGCCCACGTCCAGGGCCCAAGCCCATACCCGCAACAGGCGGCAGGGGCTCCAGCAGCACCCGCTTGTACGTGGCCAGGCTGGCGTCCCCGGGGTCCAGCTGCAGGATCTCCATCAAGCTCTTCTGGCTCGGGGCCCGGTACCCCGGCACCGCCTCGTCCAGCACCTCCTCCTCTTCCTCGGACGCCGCGACCAGCTGCCCACCCTCCTTGTCAGCCAGGAGGACTGAGGGTCGGGAAGGCCGCATGAGCAGCTGCCCACCGCTGACCCCTGCATCGCAGCACCAACCTGCAGCCCCCCTCCCCCAGACCTAGACAAGCCTGACATCCCGGCCAGGGTGGCAGCAACCGAGACCCCAAACAGGAGCCGCCTTCAGGAGGCCTCCAGGGCCTGGAGCAGACTCAGCCCCCTCCCCTCTCCAGGGCCCCCTACTCCCAGCTCGCTCCCTAATGCGCAGCCCCCTCCCACCAGTCTCCAGGAGGCGGGGAGGCTCTCTCTCAGCCCCTGGCCGCTGTCTCCAGTCTCCACCCACCGGGTGAGAGGGGGCCCTGCCTCCCCGGCTTCACCAACAGGCCTGGCCCCCCTTCCCCCACCCGCCGCCAGGGCCCCCCCAGCCAGGGCCCTGCACGCGAGGCTCCCAAAGTTGCCGCAAGACGGGCTGGGGGCGGAGGGCGAAGGCTCCCAGCCCGGCCCCGAGCCCCCCGCCCACGTGGCCGCTCACCTCGGGCGCACAGCGCCAGCCGCAGCAGCTCCAGCAGCTGCGCCCCCAGCTCGCACGCGTCCAGGCCCAGCATGGTGGCGCGCGGCCCGGCCCGCCGCGGAGCCGCCGCCCGGCTCGGCGCTCAGCCCCGGCGCGACTGCGGTGAGCTCATCCCGGCCGGGAGCGCCCCCCGCGCCCAGCGCCGCGCCCGCGCCGCGCGCCCCCAGCCGCTCCGCGGACCCCGCGCAGCCCCGCAGAGACGCGCGTGTCGCCCGCCCGGCGCGGGCGCTGCCGCTGGCACCGGGCCGGCCCCGCCGCGACACAGCCGCGCCCCGCACGGAGTGCTCGGCGGCTGCCGTCACGGTCCCCCGCCCGCCCCACCCCCGCCGCCGAGCTGCTGGGGTCTCCCGGGAAGCCCTGTGCTCGGGGCCGGGTGGAGCAGGTGCGCGCCCCCCGCCGCGTCCCCAGGCGCTCATTGCCTGCCACACCCGGGGCTCGCACCCCACATCCCCGGACCTCCTTCCTCCTGAGCTGGGGACTCAAGGACCCCAGGCTGCTGGACCCCAGGACTGGCACTGCCTGCGGAATCCTGGGTGGGGGGGTCTTCTTTGTCTCTGGGCAGTGCTGACCCCACCTGGCAGGGGTCTTGACACCTCACCCTGCCACGGCCCCATCCCCCTGCTCTGGGGACACCAGGGTGAACCACACCCTGCATGGCAGCCTGGGCAGCAGCCTGGGTAGGCCCTCCCCCTTCAGGCTGATCCTGGAGTCTGGTTCCACCCCTGCTCCTGGACACCCCGGGGTGGGACAGCTTTCTGCTCAGGGGTCCTGGGGGGGCGGGGATGTATCCTGCAGATGCCCGGGAGGCGCAGCTCCTGGAACCGCTGAGGCCTGCGCCCAGAGCTGGGAGGCCTGTTGGGCACGCCCCAGTCCTCCCACCCAGACCCTCCTCCCACTGTCAAAGGTGCCTGCCTAGGCGGTTCTGGGCGCCGCAGCAGGGGCCTGAGCCATCCATTTCCAGGTGACCCCACCCAGAAGTTCCGCGGGGTGGGGTGGGGGGCATGTTTAGAGCAGAAACTAACCAGGCGTGGCCTCCACCTGGCTGCCAGCTCCCCAGGTGGCACTTGCAGCCACCTACCTCCCTCCTCACCCACCACCCCCAGCGTCCCCCATCTTCCCTGCCCTGTCCCAGGAGTCATGGTCACCCACGGTGTGAGGCACCCGGGGAAGCTACCCCATCCTGCCCTCACAACCCCGGTCACACCCCACAAACCCCGCGAACTCCTTTCCCCAGGCAAGGCCGCCCTCAAGTGCCCCTCCTGGAGCGCCTGCCCTCAGCGAGGTCAAGGCCCCGACTGCCCCGGGAGACATCTACCCAGGTCAGGTCCTGCCCCCAGCCCCTTCCCGGGCCCCAAGGCCTCCAGACATGAGGAGGAGACTCAGGGCGGCCCCGCAGCCCCGGGATTAACGCGCGGGGGCGGGGCGGTCCGGCCTGCGCCACCTGCCGCGACCATGGCCGCCTGCCTCGCGCCCCTGGGCCAGCGCGCCCGCGCGCAGAAGTCGAACCTGGACAAGGTGGGCACAGCGCACGGCCCTCCCTGCGCCCTGGGCCTGTCCCCCGGCCGGGTGTGCCCCCTCCCCTCCCTGCGCCCTGGGCCTGTCCCCCGGCCGGGTGTGCCCCCTCCCCTCCCTGCGCCCTGGGCCTGTCCCCCGGCCGGGTGTGCCCCCTCCCCTCCCTGCGCCCTGGGCCTATTCCTGGGCCTGTCCCCCGGCCGGGTGTGCCCCCTCCCCTCCCGCAGGGCCACGGGGGGGGAGGGGCCCGAGGTCGGTGGGGCGGGGCGGCGGCCAGGCTGGCCCTCATGGCAGCGCGCTCGGCATAGATGGAGCGGGTGGTCGTGAGCATGCAGGACCCGGATCAGGGCGTGAAGATGCGAAGCCAGCGGCTCCTCGTCAGTGTCATCCCTCACGCCGTGACGGGTGAGACCCTGCCCGCGGCCGGGTGGGAGGCCCGGGAAGCCTGGCCCCCACCCCACGCCACGCGGCACCACGCCAGTGTTTCCTGCGCAGGTGGCGACGTGGTGCAGTGGCTGACCCAGAAGTTCTGCATCTCGGACGAGGGTGAGGGTCTGCCCGGGCGGGCGGGGGCGGGAGGGCCGGCTGCCCCTGTTCTCACCCGTGCCCTCGGCAGAGGCGCTGCACCTGGGCATGCTGCTGGTGCAGCACGGGTATCTGTATCCGCTGCGGGACCTCCGCAGTCTGGTGCTGCGGCCGGATGATACACCCTACAGGTTCCAGGTCAGGCTGGGGCCCTGTGGGCAGCCTGAGGGTGGGGTCGTCTGGGGAGGCCTCACAACTCCTCCCTCTTGCAAAAGGCCTGGATGCAAGTGCTGTGGGGTGAAAGACTTTCCCCTTCCTGGGATCCCCACCCTGCCCACTGGTGTCTGAGTGGCTTGCCCCAAACTGCCGGAGTCTTCCTGCCTCTCCTGTCCCCCAGCTAGCCCCCAGTCACCCTCTGCCCCAGCCTGAATCCACTGCACCTGCCCAAGGCCCCAAGAGAAAAGCAGGCCTTGTTCAGGATGGGCAGTGCCCAGCCGGGGCTCCTCCCAGGGTGCCGGGCAGAAGTGGGGGTGGCAGCAGGAAGGGGAGGCCATGCCAGTGCTGCACACCATTCTCCCATGGCACGGCAGACACCCTACTTCTGGGCGAGCACTGTGTGGCCAGCTGCTGAGTTGGACTACGGTGAGAACAGGGGCTGGGCTGGCTGGGGTCTGAGGCCCAGATGCAGACCAAGGACAAGGGAACTGAGGGCAGGACCGTGCCGCATGTCCCTGCAGCCATCTACTTGACCAAGAAGCGCATCCACAAACAGGGCACTCTGGGGGATCACGAGAAGGTGAGGGCCCAGGGGCGGCAGGGGCCGGGGCGGCGCAGTTCCCTCAGAGCTGAGTGTGGTCTGGGGCCTCCCACAGGAGCACTATGACCAGCTGCGGCACAAGATCGGCCATACCTGGGACCTGGTGCTCATGCAAGCCAGGGAGCAGCTGAGGTGAACCTGGCTGGCTGGCCGGCTGGCGTGGACACCCCGGACTTGGGCTGAGGCTGGGCGGGGGTGTGGCATGCATCCAGCTCTCCCACTGCCCTCAGGGCTGCCAGGCAGCGCCGCCGAGCAGACAGGCTGGTCATCGCGTGCCAGGAGCAGACCTACTGGCTGGTAAACCGGCCCCCGGTGAGCCCCCAGCCTTAGTAAAGGTGACAGGTGCCAGTTCTGCCTCTGTGAGCTCATAGGACTAGGTCTTCCCAGAAGCCTGGACCTCAGAGGACTTGGGCGGGGAGTCCAGGGCTGAGGTCCCTGCAGGTGGCGGGAGGCACAGTCCCCACCTCTTCTTGCTGCAGCCAGGGGTCCCTCATGTGCTGGAGCAAGGTCCAGAGAGGAGCTTGTGTGCCCCCAGCCGCCTGCACATGGTGAGTGAGGTCCATCCTGCAGTGGCGTTCCCTGGAGCTCCCACTAATGCCTGCCACCTCTGTATCAGAAAAATACACTTTTGAAGATGACTGGCAATTTTGAGAATCTCTGTGGAACATTCTGGTAGCTTCCAGACTCACAGTTCCCAGAGATCTTGCAGAGGGGGATCTGAGAGTCCATCAGGGGTCCTGTGCTACATCCTGGGGACTTGGGACTCAGCTTGGGGAGGGTCCATTGGGCCAGGGTCCCTGATCGTGGCCATTCCCTTTCAGTGCAAGAGCCTGCAGTTCTACAAGTGGGAGGTAGGTGTGGTCAGTGGGCAGGGTCAGGGGCCCAGGCTGACCAGGCCCTGACTCACAGGCCCCTGTCCTAGATCGAGTACGCCAGGAGGGCGCTGGGCAGGAGCCGGCTCAAGTCCTCCGACTGCCTTGAGGCGTGAGTGGGGTGAGGGGTGGCAGCGGACCCAGGCCTTGTTTCCGCGGGGTACCAGCCTTGCCATCCTTGCCCAGGTACCTCAAGTTCAGCGGTCAGCGTGGGTCCCACGACCCCATTCTGTCCGGATGCCTGCCCAGCAACCCCTGGGTCACAGATGACGAGGCCTATTGGGCTGTGAATGCGCCCACGTGAGCCAGCGCAGGGCTGCGGGTGGGCAGGGCCGTGGGCAGGCCCGCCCGGGGTGAGGGGCAGCTGCAGACCGCCTTCCTCGCCTCCAGGGTGCCCACGCCGACGCGCCTTCGTGTGGAGCGCTGGGCCTTCAGCTTCCGCGAGCTCCTGGACGACCCTGTGGGCCGGGCGCACTTCCTGGACTTCCTGGAGAAAGAGTTCAGTGGTGAGCAGACCCCCCTCCCCTGCTGCCCTCTGCTCGAGGGACCGAGGGACCGCTGACGCAGTGTCCGGCCTCCAGCCGAGAACCTCAGCTTTTGGGAAGCCTGTGAGGAGCTGCGTTACGGAGGGCAGGCCCAGATCCCCGCCCTGGTGGACACCGTGTATCAGTGAGTATGAGGGGCTGGGCGGGGGTGGCGGACTGGCCAGCCCGCTTGCACCTGCCGCGCCTCCCCGCCTCCCCCAGGCAGTTCCTGGCCCCCGGGGCTGCCCACTGGGTCAACATCGACAGCCGCACGATGGAGCGCACGCTGGCGGGCCTGAGCCAGCCACACCGCTACGTGCTGGACGACGCGCAGCTGCACATCTACACGCTCATGAAGAAGGTGGGCGCGCACAGCAGGTGGTGCTGTGCTGCTGTGCAGGGAGACCTGAGCAGAGGGCCTCCCCAGACAGCCACGCTGGCCAGGCTGAAGCTGAGGGCAGCTCTCCCACGTGGGCTGTGGGCCCGAGTCCCACATCTGGTGGTGTGCTTTTGCCAGGATCTCCGCATGGTGTTTGCACCCCGCTGCATGCCGGGATGTGGGTCTGTGAACGATGTGACAGGGCAGGGGGAATCAGCTTGTTTGTTTCACACACAAAGCAGTGCAACAGAGGGCCTGAGGTGTGTGGTCACTCTGGGTGCCCACGGCAGCCAGGGGACCTCCCACACCCATCCTCCACTCCCAGACGATGGAAAGTAGCTATGGTCACCATCCTCCAGTGAGCTTCCTGCTGACCCACTCCGGGACAGGCAGGTGCTTCCCCAGCCCCATTAGCAAGGAGCTGAGTTGGAACCGGAGGCAGAACTAGAATCCACTCAGGGAGCCAGCATCGCTTGTGGCTGCCTAACCTACAGGGCTGCAGCTGGCCCCAGTGACATGCTATCCATGTCCTCTCTTTGGGGCAATGCCCTGCTCTCCTCCATGCTCTAGCCCTCCCTCGGGCCTCCCAGGGTAGGACTGACTAGGGCCAGCTGGGAGGGGTCAAGGGCCAATGCCCCCTTTTGCAGGACTCCTACCCGAGGTTCCTAAAGTCGGACCTGTACAAGGGCCTGCTGGCCGAGGCTACGGTCCCTGCAGAGACCAAGAGGCGGTGAGCCCAGGCTGTCGCTTGCTGGCTGAGGCTGGCAGGTCCCCAGGGCGTGGGTGAGGCTCTGTGGCGAGGGCAGGGAACCCCAGTGCTAGCTTTCAGCTGCTTCTCACCCACAGGGTGTTCCTGTTCCTGCGGAAGCCGTGGCACCCCAGCCCCCGCCCCACATTCCTTCCCGTTCTGGGGGAGCCCACGGCTGGCCACCAGGAGGCCTAGCAGACCAGTCAGCTCCCAGCCCCTGGTTGCCCCATACCCTCCTCAGCCCAGGGTTCCTGCAGCTGCTGATCACCTGCTGCCCTGTGCCCGCTCACTGTGCAGCCCTCCAAAGCAAGCCTGGCTCAGGATGGAGGGCTCTGACAACAAGGCTGGGCGAGACTGGAGGCCCCCTGGAACCGCCTGCATCCTGGTGTTCTCCAGGGCAGCACTGGGCTCCAGACGTCTCCCAGAAGTCCCTTCTAGCAGTTAACCCCTGGAAGGTCCCAATCAGCCCATCAGGTCCAGGAGTGGGCACAACCCTGCCCTATGGGACTCCTGGGAGCCCCCATTCTATGGAGGCCACCCTGGGCTTAGTGTTTTTGGGGTACAAGCTGTGGCTCATGAGTAATTGCGCTGGGGGGGTCTCCCTGACATAGGGTGAATGCACAGCTGGTTCCTCCAGGCAATAAAGGATGGCGGGCACAGCTTGGGGTGTGCACACATGGTGGCTGGTATGAGCATACTGGGGGGCGCAGGTATGAATGAGCCTCCAGGCAAGGTTCCCAGTGTGTGGGCTGACCATGAAGTGACCCAGCCCTCCCAGGCTCTACCTGGATCCCAGGAGGCAGGGGCTGTGGGGGTGGAAGGACAGCTGTGCTGGAATGAGGGGTGAGCCTGCTGTGGAATGTGGCTGCCTGAGGCAGGGACTTCTGCCTTGCTGATCCTGGGTGGCCGACAATGGGCTGCAGGCTGACCTCACCCACGGTGGGAAGGCCATCTGTTGGGGTGAGACTGCTGCTGCTTTGCAGGGCAGCCTAGAGCTCAGCAGCCCATGGGGACCCAGGGCAGCGTGGCCACTCATGGAGCCCAGCTTCTGTCCACACACATCTGGGAGCATCTTCCCTGCAGCTGTCCCCCACCTCTGCTTCTGTCACTCCTCAGAACCACTGACTGACACAGCTCACATCTGACCAGGTGCAGGGTCACACAGTGCAAATGGTTTATTTGGTTCTCCTGGGATGGAGGGTGCTGCGAGGCAGCTCTGCTATGTGCTCAGGGTGCTGAGCCGCCAGGGGCAGCAAGGCACAGAGGTGAGTGGGGTTGCAGACACCAGGGTAGGCAGGAGAGAAGGGGTAGAAGCATTCACAGGCCAAGGTGGGCGTGGGGATACACACAGCTGCAGTGTGGCCCACCATATCAGAAACCTCAGCAACTCCAGCTGGCAGTAGCCCCAGGCCGGAGCACCCAGTGCTGCAGCTGCATTTGGTTGGCTCCCCTGAGGCTGGTGTGGGGAGACACGGGAGCACAGGTCCTGGGCACTTGGCGAGGCACAGCTGGCAGGCAAACTCTGTCCAGTGGACCCAGGAGACACGAGGGAGGCGGAAGGGACACCTGGAGGAGGACCCTGAAAGCCCTGACTCCCTGCTGGACATAGCAGGAAGGGCTGGCCAGTGGTTGCCCCCCCCCCCCGTCCTGCCCCCAGCTTCCAGTGATCTCCACCTAAGTGTCACTCCGATAGCGCAGCTGGGAGAAGCGGTCTCTGATGGCCTGGTCACTCTCCGGGCCCCCCTTGCCCAGGTGGACTACTCTGCTGCCCGGCACGAGGTCGCGCACCTTGTGCTTGGTCACAGACACCAGCCCGGGCATGTCGGAGCTGGCAGGGCCCGTCAGGAGGATGTAGGCGGCATGGCGGCTCGGCTCGAACAGGAGTACTGTGGGGACACAGCCGTCAGTGGGCAGCAGTGTGCCAGCGGGGGCCTGGCTCAGGACCTCACTCACCATCTGCAATGACGATGTTGGCAGACACGTTGGCCAGCTCCAGCAGCACGTGTGGCAGCGTCGGGTGGAACATATACAGACTGTGCCAGTTGGCCTCGGGCTCCTGTGACAAGAGCCAGCCTCACATACGGCCTCATGGTCCAAGGAGGCTGCTAGTAGAGCGGTGCTGCCCCAACAGGCTGCCCCACAGTACTGGCTCCAAGCTCCTTACCCCAGCCAGGCTGTCCCCCTCCCCATCTCAGGCCCATCAGCCTCCAGGGAGGCCCTGACGGGGCATTCAGCAGCCCCCAGGTGCATCCAGGCAGATTCAGCCCGGCACTGGCTCCCAGCTCGGGTGCCCTGAGTGCAGCCTCGGCCATACCGTCTCGTTGGTGCTGGTTAGTTCATGCAGGCCCCAGAAGAAGAAGGCAGAGCGGTGGTCTGCGGTGGGAAGAGTGGTGGATGGTGGACCCTGTGGCAGGCCGGGGAGGGCCTGGCTCCACAAGGTGTTTCCAGAGCTGAGGTCCAGGAGGAGGATCTACGGATGGAGGGGAAGGGGGTACTGACGGGGGCCCATCTCGTGAAGACAGCCCCAACCCCTGAAGACGCCATTCTGCCCGAAGAGGGTGGCAGGAGAAGGCACAGCCACCTGTCTGTCAAGGCCGGTTCCGTTCTCAATGACCACGGCCAAGGCATCTGGTTTGTAGTGGCCGAGGACAGGTTTTCTGAAAGGAGGAGGGGAGAGCTCACAGGGGTGTCTAGAGACCAAGGGGGAAGAGGCACTTGGACACCCAGAGTGGGCAGCACCCAGGATGAGTGCCAGGCCTCATCCCCACGGCCCAGGAAACCTGGCTACACCCAGGGCTGCCTAGTACCTCAGGACCTGGGCCACGCCCAGGGTCCACCTGGGTGTGAGCTCCTGACCGTCCAGCAGCATGCAGGCCTCAGAGCCCACGAGCAGCAAGTCCTGGCCGCCTTTCCCTGGCACGTTCATCAGGTGGTGCACAGCCCCGGAGCTGTGGGGTGAGAGGGGAAGAGTAGTGGGCAGGTCTTGGCTGACCCCAACACCCCTCAGGCTCCCACGGCCGAGCTGCCCGCTCCTGTGGTCCAGCTCAGCCTGCACAGACGCCAGCAGCCCGCCTGGGTGCCGCACCCACCTGTGTAGATCCAGCTTGTGGCCGGTGGAGCTGAGCTTCCTCTCCCACAGGGGGTCCGTCTGCAGGGGGCCCTCCTCCCCAGTCACCTGCTTGTACAGACCCTTCATGGAGCAGCCGCAGAGGGAATCTGCTGTCCAACACACAAGATACCCATGCCATTGGTCCCAGGCAGCTATGCCCTCTCCCTCCTCAGTGCTGCTTCAGGGACCTGAGGTAGGCCACTTACCACAGGGGAGGAGAATGTAGTGTGCGCCCGTTCTGGTGACATGAAGCAGGGGGCTGCTGTGCCCGGCGACACCCAGGCTAACTCCACGGCCAATCTGGTGCCCGGTGCTGCCTGAGTAGAGGTAACCCTGCACCTGCAGTGACAGGGTAGCAGGCAGTGAGGGGGCCCAGGGGAAGTGTCAGGCCAGGCCTTGGGAGGGGCTGGCAGGGGCACTCCTCCGCACCTCCATTCCCTCCCTGGTGAGGAGAAGCAGGTCTGGGGCTCCATCGCCATTGACGTCTGGCACATGCAGCAGAGGTCGCAGGATGGACGTGTTGCTGCCAAAACCACTGGGGTGGCTCCACCGGGTCTTGCCTGCAAGCAGGTAGAGTGCGGGATCCAGGCTTCCTGTGCTGCCTCTGGCTGAAGCCCCGTTGCAGGTATGTCCCACACCCAGCACGCCCAGTGTGAGTGCTCACAGCCAGCAGCCCCGCAGGCCAGTGTCAGCCCCTCCCGAGTCCTCCTTGCCAACACCGACCCCCTGAGCAGCCGGTGGCGCCACCCCTGGGAGGGGATAGCTGACCCACCTGTGAACACATCCACGGCAATGAAAGATCTGGGCCTGCCCACAAGGACACAGGTGGGTGCCACCTCGGCATCTGTCAACTGGGGCACGGCACAGTCTGCGAGGGCCACGTCGGGGGCCACGGGCTTCTCCCACAGCACGCTGCCATTGGCCCCCGACACCGCAGCCACAAAAGCACAGGGGGAGGAGCCTGGGAATGAGATGGATGCCGGCTGGGCAGCCTGAGCGATGGCTTCAACCCCTGCCTGGGCTGGGGCTGGCCTCCGAGACCCTCCCCACCCCCGGGAGAGTGACGTAATGTATCCCGGAGCCCAGTAACCCTGAGAGCACTGCAATTACCTTCCTCAGTGCAGGAGTGGTTAACAGCGTCGCTAGCGCTGGTGGTTTTATAAAGAAAGAGGATGTCCTGTATCCTGTCCCCGTTAATGTCTTCGAGGGCCAGGAAATCATAGGTGACTGGAAGAGACAACCAGGCACAGTACATCCTGGGCTGCACCAATGCTGGACCACTTGGCAGCCACGGGCAGTCCGGAGCACGCAGGTAGAGACCACCCAGCAGCCACAAGCCATCCTGGGCCACACAGGCAGAGACCACCGGGCAGCCACAGCCAGGATTAGGCACCCTGCTGTCGCGAAGGATGGGGTGCAGGGTCACAAGGGGGCATTCGCAACAGCCCCCATCCAGGAAGATATTGTCTTGGCATTCCTTGGGGCCCTCTCAGGGCATGCCCACACCCCACACTCTAAAGGAATTGCTTCCTTTCATCAAGGGCCTCCCGCCACACACCCAGAGATTAAGGCCAACCCTTGGCTGCAGGTCACATACAAGTTGAGTTTTGGACTTTGATCTCTGTTGACTTGTACTCGCTTCGACAGCACATATACTAAAACTGGAATGATCTCTGTTGACTGAGGGGCTAGTACTGTGAAACTGAGAACAGGGGGAAAATCTTTGTACCACTGAATGTACTGATGCCAAAAGCAAGCCAACAAAAGAAAAGGCAGGAGCCTGGCGGTGTGGCCTAGCGGCTGAAGTCCTCGCCAGGATCCCATATGGGCGCCGGTTCTAATCCCAGCAGCTCCACTTCCCATCCAGCTCCCTGCCTGTGTCCTGGGAAAGCTGTCGAGGATGGCCCAAAGCCTTGGGACCCTGCACCCGCATGGGAGACCCAGAAGAGGCTCCTGGCTTTGGAAGGGCTCAGCTCTGGCCGTTGGGGCCACTTGGGGAATGAAACATCGGACGGAAGATCTTCCTCTCTCTCCTTACTGTATCTCTGCCTTTCCAATAAAAAATAAATAAATCTTTTTTTTTTTTTAAAGAAGATTTATTTATTTCTTGGAAAGGCAGAGATACAGAGGAGGAAAGAGAGGAAGATCTTCCGTCCGATGATTCACTCCCCAAGTGGCCCCAACAGCCGACGCTATGCTGGTCCAAAGCCAGGATCCAGGAACCTCTTCCGGGTCTCCCATGTGGATGCAGGGTCCCAAAGCTTTGGGCCATCCTCAACTGCTTTCCCAGGCCATAGGCAGGGAGCTGGATGGGAAGTGGAGCTGCTGGGATTAGAACCGGGCCCATATGGGATCCCAGAGCATTCAAGTCAGGGACTTTAGCCGCTAGGCCACGCCGCCGGGCCCAAGAAAATAAATAAATTAAAAAAAAAAAAAAAAAAGGCACAAGACAGGGTGGGTGTGCTTTTCTAGATGGCCACAGGGCCAGTGGCTCTGCGGGCATTGTGGCAGGAGGGGACACAAT